GGGAAAAATGAGACCATTAAAGTGTAAACCAAAAAACAGCACTGTTGTTCAGTTGGACCTGAACCATGATTTGACTCATACTCCATAATATCCCTCAGTCCCAGAACGATAAACAGTTTCTCTTCACTAGCCAACACGATGGCACCCTGTGTTTAGCTGAATACTTCAGAAATTAAAGATATCATTTCTTGTCAGCGTTACTTTCCAGAAGCCTTTAAAGATTGTGCTACAAAATACTTTATCTGTGCACGTAAGGAATTTGGTATCAATTATTCTACACCAAAGTTTTCTTAGTAGACACATTCTTAACCCTATAAAGTCTACTGTATCATACTTGATATGCAAATTTCTATGGCCTCATAGAATTATCAACATGATCAACAAAACGTTGCTGAAAAACCTGTTGCACACAATTGACTACATGCCTTCTGTTGTCAGATTGAAAGTTCATATACGTTTTAGCAAGTAAAAGGCCTTTTAGAATAACTATAAAAACATCCTCCTACAGGTTCACGTGTCTTTTTCCTGTGAGATGTTGCAACTCTTTACTGATTTTTATAAAGTAAGAATAGTTCTTATATTGTTAGTAATATTTTAAGATGAACACTGATTGGACTGAAGCACCTTAGGTTTACTTGATTATTCATTTTTTAGAAACATCATGTTAAAATGTGAGTATCAAATATGATCCACCATGCTGTTGAGGAATGTTTATTTGTTCATCTCAATCATCATTGTATTGCAAAATGTGTTTTGCCCCACAATAAAAAGTGCAGAACATTGATCATAAAACTAAGCATTTAAATATCATCTTACTAAGACATGTTATTAAAATATATAGAGTGGCAACTGATATGTATATGTGTTTTATGTGTTTCAGGTAGTCTGCTATACTCTTATAAAGATCTCATTGATTTACATAACAAGCATCAGAATGTCATCTTAATTTTTGGTCTTGCAACGGCGCCAAATTGCACATTTTTGCTAATTTTAGGCCTCTGAAAGAGGTGTTTTTATTCCTCAAGTATGAGCTCCATATTCTCACTTTATCATACTGTATGAGCCATAAAAGCCTGATGTATCAAATATCGTCATATGTATACATAAATCATGTATATATGTACATTTATTAATATTTATGTGTATATAAATCTCAAATGAACATAACATCAAAACACTGAATATTGTGTTTGTTAAGAGTTTTAGTCTACTCGTCCATAAATGCAGACATGTTTATATACCGATCATATAATGTATATGGAAGACACGTGGACACATTTTTATGTCAGTAACAGTGTAACAAATATTTGTGACTGTCTGACAAGAGCTTCAGTGATGGTGTTCCCAGATCTCAGGTGATTTACTGCAGCTCTTCTACAGCCCAGATTCCTGAGATACACATCATTTCCTTTGCTTCTGTTATTGGAGGGCCCAATGTGTCTCTAAGGCCCCTCACCTTTGACCGCTCTTATAGCATGATCCTCGAACAGATGTCTAAATGACATGCCGGAAGATGTACCATAAACCTACAGTACTTCACAAATGGCTTTTGGATATCGTGATAGTTCAAAGACTATTGTTAATGACCACCAGGCATAGTTTTTGGTGTCCAACAGAGCTGAAGGTACTACACTTTTCTCTGTGGAAATCCAAAGTGAGCACAGACACTTACCTGCATTGTTTGCTGTGATTGCAGTTATATGTACATGTGTCAAGGGAACGTCCACTTGGAAAACTTCTCATGGACTTGGTGTTTTCCTCAGCGTTAGGCTAATCAGTCGTTTTAACAATCATGCACATTAATAACTCTGTTCAAACAAATATTTGTAAAATTAGTTACACCATTTAGTGAAACTCAGCTAGTTTTATTTGACTCTAAATTCTCAAAAAAAATTTCACTGTTGTGTTTTGGTTCAGAAAAACTTCTTATAAAACGGATAGTTCTGGTCCTTGATTCTGATTGGCTGAGCCGCATTCGAAGCTGTTGTAAATTACTCTACAAACATACACCTTTGTTTACTTCTGTGTGTTGCTCTGCAACCACTTTGTTGGAACCACAACTGTTTCTAAGGAACTACATTGTTTGGTGGAAGAATACTGTTTTTATTTATATCCATTATTTGCCCGTTCACTGAATCGCTGGCCGTCTCAGTGATCTGCCGTAAAACAGTGATTCTGTCCTAATTCCCTTACATATTAATGGTGGAGTTCCCTTTAAAATCTTAAATGATTCCCTTTGAGCTAAATTATTGACCTGTTTCCCTTACATTATTTATATTGTAATAAATATTTAGATTTAGATTTTTAAAATATATTTTCAAATACAAAAAATATATATTTGTAGAAAATATATTTACATGAATTTGCAACATATTTTAGCAAACTTTTATTTTATTTTTGGACTTTTTTGAATATTTTTACGTTTAGGATATAATGATATCATAACTGATTACCATATTAGTATACCATAGCATTTACAACTATACAACTAACTACTCTACTATATTACAACACTGCATGTATTCTCTTCTGAAGTACGACTTCAGGCCATGAAACAGGCCCTGTCAAATTCAATTAAAATGATTTGACGCTATTAAATATGATGTTGCTAAAAAGAACATTATTTTGTGTATTTGGTGTAATGAAATGTGTTTATGCGGTTTAAGGTTAAAAAACACATTATTTTCCACATACTGTACATTATTGTTTCTTCTCTATGCCCCGCCTTTCTGAAACGCGTACATTTTTACAAAGCTCATCGGTCTGAAAAGCGAGGTGTGCTGTGATTGGCCAGCTATCCAGTGCGTTGTGATTGGCCGAATACCTCAAGCGTTTGACGGAAATGTTATGCCCCTTACCATACTGTGATGATGCCCTGTCCCAGGCTGAGGCGACGAGACAAAACCAATAAAACCCATTATGAACGAGGCATTTGTTGCATCCAGTGGGGACATAACTACTGATTATAATGACTTATAGTGTCTTTTTACGTGTTGCATCGTGCCCCATAAACATAAAACTATGTCTGCATTTGTGATCGGAGAAATGACAAACAACAAAGATGCATTTTTTCTTTTTTTTTATCTTTAAATGTTTTCTCTTTTTCATCTTTTTGCAGAATCAATACATATCACCTTTAAGAATCTGTCCCAATTCCAATGACCTGAATGACTCATACAATTACCAAATGTCATGTCCTAGAAATGTCTTTTAGCTTTAAAACACATGTTGGTGAGGAAGCACAAGCAAGTGTGAAACACCAGGGTAAGAATGCCAACAGCTCTCTTTAATTACAGCTGAAAGATTTATAGAGACCAAAATGAAACATTTATAGTCGGCGGTGGGATTTCAGACACTGATTATAGGTAATCATTAAAGTCACAATTCAAAACAACAATACATAACCCTCTAATCCACAAGACCTTGAAATGCTGTTTGACATTATAATAGATCAACCCTGTATTTAGTGGGGAAAAACAGAGAAAAAAAGGAACTTGTAGAAAAAGTCTATTTTGTAATATCTCCAGTTCTATACAACATTTGCTCGCATTGTTGTATAGAACTGGAGATATTACAGTCATCATCACAGAAGGGTTTTTGACCCAACACGGTTCTTATGCATGTCAGTAATGTTCAAGAGAGTATCTTTAAACAGCAAGTACTTGACTTTCCGCAACAGCTGCTCAATAAACGCAGGTCTGAAGTGTCAGCATGTTCTAAACATTCAGAGTTGCCATTATGGTAAACCTGGCGAATTCCTTCTTGTCTCCATCATGACATGAGGAAGAACAGATTAAAGGGCTGAAGAGTAATGCAGCACAGTTCAACATTATGTCATTCCTGCATTTTACTGTATGTCCAGATTATGTTCTCCTTCAACAGAGTTTCCCCTCAATAAACTCCTAAATACTGTATCTACTTATTGATGATAAGGTAGTTTTTGTAGCATTTTTGTTTAGGTATGGGGTGGGGTTAAGGGATGTAGAATATGGCCATGCATAATAAGGCATTAATATGTGCTTTATAAGTACTAATAAACAGTCAACATGCTAATATGCATGCTAATAAGCAACTTAATAGTGGATATGATTCCCTAATAACCCTTTAGGGTTACCAAAATGTCCTTTATCGTGCAACCTGTCTATGTGGGCGTCTGCTTAATATGACTTTCTTCCATCAAGTGACTGCCAATTTTGATTCTCTTACCATTGTGAAATGAATTGTGCTGAACAGTATTGAATGCGTACTTTTAATTCTAAAAGTATATTTAAAAAAAAAATACCAGCCAGTTATGTGTACATAAAGAGACTTTCATGATTCTTAACACTTAAGTACTCTTTTAAACAGTGCATTTTCAAAAGTGCAGATTTAAAGTTTCATAATAAAGTGCATATTTTGTCATGCTTTATACTGTGCCGGTTTGTGACATAAAACATGCATCTCCACTTGCTTAGACAACCTGTTTTATAAACTGTTCAGTGAAAATATGTTCTGGCTAAGAGCCTAACTGCCTTTCTTGCTAAGAACTGTTTGTCTCAGACACATTGACAGGCCTCATTTAGTGTATCTCTCTTCCAGCAAGTACTTGCTTTCAAGTATTTGTACCAAGAATTAATTTTATAACATGAAATGCATCCGCTGATGACCCTGACTGAAGTCTACATCATTTATATTGAATAATCTGAAATATGTATACTCCTACTATTCTTTATTCACTGAAAAGTGGTGTATGAAGAGTCGACCGGTGCTTGGGTGGTCTGGGGGACTTTTTGATATGGTTTTGATTTCACGTGGTAAAATAAAGATGTCACATTTGATAAACAGTATAAAACCCAGTTACCTAAATACATGTTTTATAAAGCAAAAGACAGACATTGTCTCAGTATCATAGATTTTATAGTCTTAATTTTAAATTTGTGCAAAAACAATTATCCTCTGGCTTTAAAAAGGCACAGATGACATACGCTTTCATACTTTTACATTACTGACTTGAAAACAAAGCACAAATCTGAATATTTACACAAACCATTGCACTGTACAAACATTTATGATTTCCCTAAAGACATTAATACTCAAATATATTGCTGCAACAGGACTGAGGTAACACTTCAAGAAAGTTACAAAGAAAATAAAAGTAGGTGAAAAGTAAAAAGCAGCAACACGGAAGCCTTCAAAGGGGTTATTGTCCTCAACGGCCCTTATTTCATAGAAGAACATCCATATTTTATCTAAATCTGGGACTCTATAAACACTATCAAGCTAAGAAATATGCATTAAGATAAGAAGTTGACATACTTCTTTCTTCACAGAGGCATGACTTAAGTACCTTTCTATTACATTGCAGTATAATGTGATTTTTAAAAAATCGGTGTTTGGTCGGCACTGTGCACTTGGGTTTCATTCCGTGCAAAATAAAAAATAAAGTTAAAGTTCTAATGAAATTGCTTTTGGCAGTAATGATGAACTCTGGGTTTTGTATAGCATTTAACCAAACAGGAACATGTTAGACTCTGACAGACGTTTCAATCTCAAGTGGGCATATATCATGCGTCACATTCATAAATATTTGGTTCTGTTCCACAGAATTTGCAGCTCTGAGCAGGAGTAGAAGGAGGCATAATAATAAATAACATAAATGAAGGTACCATGATGAAAGATGAGCCTAAACATGCACTCTGTGACTGAATTCTCCTGGGATTAAACATTGTTGCAATGTTTTTGCACCTTTACCATAGTGTCTGAGTAGTGTTGACTCTGGAAGGCTTGCATGCATTATGAAGGGAAGGTTTCTTTTGCTTGGAGTTTTGCCTCTTTTTCTTTGCCATTTCTCTGTGAAGCATCTGTTTGCCCACTTCAGGTCCAATAAATCCCCCCTACTGCACTGTACACACTCAACTACTATTGCAATAGAGCGCAAAAGTTTCCGGAAGTTAAAAGCCGCACTCATTTTCGTCATAAAGAAGTTGATTTTAACAATAAAGCATAAACTTTTGAGACAGACGTACCATGAGCTCTGAATTATATTTTCATAATAGGTTTGTAATTTGGTGATTCATCTTGGAGATGGTTGGATTTTTTTCACTATGAATAAACTGAATGGGAAAAATAATTCTTGAAGCAAAAAAGTATGTGGTGATTGTCACGCTCTTTTCCAGCTCCGGCTTCAAAAATGATTAATGAAATAAAGCAAAAAAATGCGAAACACACAACAAGTCTGACAAATCGACAAAATATCTGTACAGATTAAATACAGTGTAATCAATATGCCTTTTGTAATGAAATTAGAGATTTTGCATGTATTTAAAAAAACACCGATTAAAACCAGCACCGCTGTTAAAATACCATTTCTACCACACTGCATTTTGTTAAGAGTTGCATGTGTGCTTAAAAACGTTATTCACAATTGTATATAAAACCCCTGGAAGCCCATGGATTGAGCTAGCAGACTTTGACAGATCCTTTGGTCTTCTGTAAATGTCTCTTTCCTCCCAAAGACAGAGTCCGAAGTGTTGCATTTCCTTTGATATGTCCTGACTTTTGAGAGCAAATCGGTGACCTTTTGTTCGTCGTCAGTGCCGTCTCACTCTCTCACAGCAAAGACACGGAACGAACCGCCTTCTGTATTGCTTTTACTGCAAGAAAAAAATGCAAAGAAAACAATGAACAAACAATTAACTACTTTAAAAAACACACTTGCCACTCCTTTGATATGTCCTGACTTTTGAGAGCAAATCGGTGACCTTTTGTGCGTCGTCAGTGCCGTCTCACTCTCTAACAGCGAAGACACGGAACGAACCGCCTTCTGTATTGCTTTTACTGCAAGAAAAAAATGCAAAGAAAACAATGAACAAACAATTAACTACTTTAAAAAACACACTTGCCACTCGAATATGAACAGATCTTTGTGAAAAATATCTAAGATCTTATATTCAGTTCACACTTAAGTATATTGTTTTAATGTTTTCTATGGAAGCCCGTTTCCGCCACTGAATAAAAAAATATAATTCTGTAAGTCATAATAATGAGAAACTGTCATTATTAAGAGAGTTTCTCATTATTACGAGAAATTAAGTCATTATTACGAGAAAGTTTCTCTTTATTATGAGAAACTAAGTCATTATTACGAGAAAGTTTCTCAATATAACGAGATACTAAGTCATAATTTTGAGAAAGTTTCTCATAATTATGACTTACAGAATTATATTTTTTTTATTCAGTGGCGGAAACGGGCTTCCATAGTTTTCAGACACTTAAATGAAAATGATTAGAGTTTAAATTTGTATTAAATGCAATTAGCTGAACTTTAAACTTTAGAGTTGTTGTTTTTTTATCCACTTAAACAGGACTTAAAGGGATAGTTCACCCAAAAAAGAAAATTCTGTCATTTTTTCACCTTCAAGTTCCAAACCTATATTAATTTCTTACTCATATAAAAGATATTCTGAAGAATGTGGGTAACCAAACACTTGCTGCTAGCCATTGACTTCCAGAGTATTTTTTTCCATCCATACCATGGAAGTCAGTGGCGACCAGCAACTGTTTGGTTATCAACATTCCTCACAATATCTTTTATATGAGTAAGAAATTCATACAGGTTTGGAACTTTAAGTCCTGTTTCAGTGGATCAAAAAAAACAACAACAACAACTCTAAAGTTTAAAGTTACATTTAAGTAAGAATTCCTCTTATCCAGAGCCAGGAGGTCCACATAGCCGCCGCTGGCTTTGATCACTCCAGCGTGGAGAGCTGCTCGGCAGATACTGGAGCCCTGGACACGAGGAGACAAAAGCGTATTCTTTTAGTCGACATGCCAGCGTTCATGAGTAGATCCACTGACCTTCATTCTGGAGGATTTATATCATGCTTCCTCAAACTTGCACATCTGTTATATACACTACTAGTCAAAAGTTTGGTATAAAATCTCATGCTCACTGCTCAATTATTATTGGCGCTTAATTATTAATAATGGCTCTTATTATTATCAATGTTGAAAAGCATCATGTGAAACTTAAGACTGGAGTAATGGCTGGAAATTCAGATTTGCCATCACAGGAGTAAATTACATTTTAAAATACATTCAAATAAAAAACAGTTATTCAACATTTCACAATAGTATTGTTTTTAACAATTTTATCAAATAAATGTAGCATTGGTGAGCGTAAGAGACTTTACAAACTTTTGACCTGTAGTGTGCACATATCATGCACTGGGTGCAAATAGATAACACAACCAATGCGAGTTCATTTCTATGAACAGTCATGTCAAACTGTACTTTTAGGGTCAGTGACAATGCAAAAATATATTTTTTAAAAATGCCAATTTTACATACAATGTCTTAAATACACCTCTTAATGGGCATGTTTTTAATTTCTGAATTGACATACATCTCTGCCTACTGAAATAAGGCAGGCAAAGTCTCTTAACATTTTAAAATCTCGCCTTAAAACTTATTTCTTTAGGGTAGCTTTTACTTAAATCTTTATATAAATTTTATATTGTTTTTATTTCTAATGTGGTTTAAATGTTTTTTTGCTTCTTTTTTTCATTCTTACATGGTGTATTTTGATGTTTTATTTGTTATGTAAAGCGCTTTGAGAAGTAACATTTAAAGGCACTATAGAAAAATAAAGATTATTATTGTTATTATTACATTTTGAGATAATTTTTAAATATGTTTAGTAGTTTGGCATGATCTTTTATTATTAATTCTTAGAAAAAAATATTTGTTTAACCTCTTTATGACAAAGTAAGTTTAATTCAGGTTGAAAATGCATACTAGACAATATTTATAAATTAATAATGAATGATTGCTTTAAGGATTAAGTTTACACCACATGACACATGAACCCTTAAAGGCTGGAATACACTACACAAGTTTTAAAATCTGAGCAGATTTGAAAACACTTGACTTTGTAAATGGTTACAGAGAATAACTGCACGACTGAGGATAGCACATGACAATACAAGACTTCCAAGTCATTCTTGAACACAACAAACTCACGTAGAAACATGGTAAGAGACTCAAGGCAAATGAAAACAATTTGTGACCCTGGACTACAAAAGCAGTCATAAGGGTCAATTTTTTGAAATTGAGATTTATACATCATCTGAAAGCTGAATAAATAAGCTTTCCATTGATTTATGGTTTGTTAGGATAGGACATATTGGATATTTGGCCGAGATACAACTATTTGAAAATCTGGAATCTGAGGGTGCAAAAAAAATCAAAATACTGAGAAAATCGCCTTTAAAGTTGTCCAGATGAAGTTCTTAGCAATGCATATTACTAATCAAAAATTACGTTTTAATATATTTACAGTAGGAAATTTACAAAATATCTTCATGGAACATGATCTTTGCTTAATATCCTAATGATTTTTGGCATAAAAGAAAAATCAATAATTTTGACCCATACAATGTATTTTTGGCTATTGCTACAAATATACCCCAGCGACTTAAGACTGGTTTTGTGCTCCAGGGTCAGATATGTGTTCTAAAATCAGCTCAAAATATCAAAATTTAAGAAATTAAAAAAACTGTCTGTACCCATCATTCACTACATGATTGTCTGATTGCCCAAAATTTGCAGACCGGCTTTCGTCAGCTACACTCTTAAAAATAAAGGTTTTTCATTGGCATCTATGGTTCTACGAAGAACCTTTAACATCCATTGAATCTTTCCATTGCACAAAAGGTGCTTTATAGTGGAAAAAGGTTCTTTAGAACAATACAAACTTCTTCACACTAATAAGAAAAAAATGGTTCTTTTAAGAAGTGTTCATTGAAAGGCTCTTTGGGGAATCAAAATTTGCTCTTTTATGGCATCATACGAAAATCACCTTTTTGGAACCGTTATTTTTAAAAGTGTAGTGTTGACTCCTCCAGGCTGTAAATCGGGCCAGAAATCTGGACAAAAGTCGTAAGTATGAGCAACAGTAATAGTGACACTGACCATAGCACCATGCAACTATATTTTCCACGCTCTATTCAACAGTCCTTGAGATGTACACAGTCTAAAGGAGCCTTGACAAAAGACATCACTTCGATGTCTACGCACGCACAAGAGCAAGGCCAGAGCTCAAGAGCTCCAGAAAAAGCAAGCTGGCCAGACGCCTGGCTTCAGAGCAGCTTAGTGAACTCTCTGGAACTGCATGTACCTTTCAGTTTTTATTCTTTTAACCTGGAAAGAAGGTTCAATCCTGTCTGCCTCTGTCCACAAAACCATTCAGTAATAATGAAAAGTAATGAAAGTGCACAGCTCATCGCACACATCTGGGTGCCGCTATCTTATAATGCTCATCCAATTGTTCATGCGTTGAGTATAAGTGCACTTTCAAACAAAGACTACCTTCACAAATTACCAAGTCCAAACCACTGAATAATGAGGGTTAATTAATGCTTGCTGGAGAGCGTGCTCTGATATCAGGCCAGCTATGCAGACGCTCAGCTTTTACACAGGAATGTAGCCATAACAAGCCAAAAGGCAACAAGTTCATTTGAGTTCATACACCACTACACAACCAGGCCATTCCACACTAGCTCTCTCCTCCAGTGAGGACGAGACATGCCTGATTGAAGTTAATTTAAGAAATAACTGAAGACTGGCTGTTGAATTGCTGTAAATTTAATTTACAGTTTGATTCCGATCTTTGCGATGAATTCAGCTGATCCATTTCTGGATGATTGATTCACAAATTGGAGTTTGCACTGTTTGACAGCTCACTAAAGAGCTTGCTAAAGATTATCAGTGAATAACTTATATTTTGATCTATTCCTCATATAAAACTATACAGATTGAATTAAGTGAATAAATAGAGTCCTCATTCGTTAAATTAAAAAGAACAAGATGTTCCTTTTATTTCAAAAGGAAGAAAAAATAATACCGGTTTGGAAAAACGTGAAAGTAATAGACAGTATTTACTTTTTTTCTTCTTTTTGTGGAATTGAAGAACACTTTAGCATACTGTTAAAAAAAACTACTTATTATGGAAATAACATACCTCAAAAGAATATAGTTTAGTGCAAACTGAATTTGATGTTTTCCGACACTTAATGGCATGTGAATTGCAATTAAATTAAAATGTATTATAGTTTATATTTATATTAAACATGACTAGATTAACCTTAGAGTGCTTTTTGACCCACTTTATATGTACATCTTTATATGTCATTTTAAAATTACTATTATCTTTTAAACATGGTTAAAGTTACTGCTGAATGTGCTGACAAGCATTCATGTTAAACTAAAATATACTTTAATGTCATTTCTATTGATACCTGTATGTCATGTAATTAAATATATTAAATTACACATTTGTGATGATGAAGTTGCAATTTAGTGCATTTAAAATATATTTATAATAAATGTAATATTGAAGCCAACACATCAAAACAAGAGAAAAGTGAAAAAGATTAATAAAACTTAATGATTTAAACAGACTTTAAAGTAAAACATTATCACAAAGTGAACTGTTTAAAAGTGTACTTAAGTTAAGAAACCGTCTTTCTTTAAGGACACTTAAGTGGCCTTTTATTTCATTAGGAATATATTATCTGCAAGTAAAGTTTTTTTTTGAAAATATACTTTTAAGATTTAAAGTACACTACAAGTGCATATTCAAAACAATTAAGTGCACTTCTTTTTCATAAGGGCTTTCAAATTAATTAGTGTCGTAATTTTGATTAATAAGTTAATAAAGAGCCTCTGCAATGATGAAGTTACACTGTTACACTGAAGTTACACAGCAAGCTGTTCCCTAAACAGTTAAGTGGTCTGTAATGCCAAGTCCTGACCTCAGGCATGCATGAGTCAGTGAAGAGAGCTGCTCTCCCAGCTGCTGCTCTGTGGTCAGTCTACACTCTGGGAGAGAAATTAGTGGCGACAATGGCGGCCACCTCCATCGAAAACTCCCTTCAGACTCACACAGACAATTCCCGCGGTCGACCCTCACCACAAGAGCAGCACGCTCACTTTAGCACTCGTAAGTGCTTGACTACGAATGCCTGTTCTCCCTCATTTCCCATCTCTCAGCCCTGTAAGGACGCTCTCGGACCGAAGCAGGTACTCACATCACCGTAAATGTTGGTGCCGACCACTGGAGCCCAATATGATGGTTCGTTTAGGCAGTTAGCTGGGCAGAAGACTCTGATGAGATAGAGGAGAAACTGGTGAGGTGCATTACTTTGACAAGCAAAGTACTTACAACCTGAACTGATATAGAGCGTACATAGTGAGAATTTCAATACTTTGAAGTGTACCTTGGACAATGAGAGGCAGACGCCTTGAAGGGACAAATCTCAGCCACTGTCGTGTAGCAGTCTATTGTTTGCTCTAAAAAAGGGAAAAATAAATTTTTGGTCAAACAGGCCTTCTGCCAAAGATAACAAAATGTTTATTATTATTATATAAAAAAATTAATTATAATTTAATAATTAAATTTATATATTAATAATATTAATATTCATATTGAAATAAATTATTCTGAAGATGTTTCGCCAGTCATCTGAGTAGCTTTAAAGGGGTCATATGATGCGATTTCAATTTTTCCTTTCTCTTATTAGTGTTACAAGCTCTTGGTGCATAAAGAAGATCTGTAAAGTTGCAAAGACTAAAGTCTCAAATCGAAAGAGATATTCTTTATAAAAGTTAAGAGTCAGCCATGCCCCCCCTAAAACGGCTCGTTCTAACACGCCCCCACATGTCTACGTCACTATGTGGAGATATTAGCATATTGCCGCCCAAATGTGCACGCAAAGAAAGAAGGCGTGGTTTCAGGAACAGCAGTAGTGTTGATGCAGCATGTCAGGGAGACGCTGTGTGTTTCAGTGCGAAAGCAAAAGCACTTTATTTGGCCTTCCGGAAGTAGATGCAATTAGGAATCATTGGTTAAGATTTATTTACAACAGAACAGCACAACCCAGATGTTCGAATTTGTGCAACGCATTTTATGGACGACAGTTTTTTTAACCTAGAAGAGTACAAGGCTGGCTGTGCACAAAGGCTATTTCTAAAAAAAAAAAAGGTCAATTCCGACTTCGCTATGACAATCTGGCGCTTCTGAATCAGCGACTATGTAAGTATGTTTTGTTATTAGTTTAAGTATTTGCTATTGACTGTTCAAATGCGGAGTTTTGCGCAGCGCAGAGTAACATGTCGTGTGTGTGTGTGTGTGTGTGAGGGGAACAGG